TTTTTTTTTTACAGGAAACAGGAAACCAGAAGTCATAACAGGATGCCCCAGGTTTTGATACTGTACCTGATGCGTGGGTGGCTTGCAATGGGGGTAACCCATTTACAAAACCTTTCAGAGCTGATGCTTAAAAGAGGAGAGAGCCCAGGAAAGAGTGGGTGGAGAGGAGGGTGCATAGGTTTGGGGTTAGGAAAATGGAGTTCCACTCTAAATATAGACTTCATTTCTGTCTTGCACTCTGACATAGAACCTCGACGTTACGATGCCTCAGTCTTGTTGTCCTACTTTCAAAAAAAGTAACAAAGCAAACGATCTTTGATGTTCCGTGGAACGTGGTGATATGATCGCTTCCATGTGAACGTGTGCGGCACCTTTCCCCAGGTGTACTGTTGGAGCGTCACACTGAATTTGTGACATAAAACCCTTTTTGTCATAATGAGGTTGATGTGCTGAAGTAGACTTGAACGCTCTTCACCCTGTTGCAAAACCCCCAAGCTGTGCAGCACTCTTGCATCCTTTTGTCAATGAAGCTGCTCTACGACTCTAAGTGCAGCATTTTAGAAAAATAATTATGTTAATATTTTTGATATTTGCAGAGGCAAATCAGAACAATTCTTAGAATTAAAAAAATTCTTAGAATTAAAAGAAATAAAACAACAAAAACAGTGTGTATATTAGAAGTTTAATGAAAGCTTGACCATGTTGTGAGATTATAACAAGACCTGCTCAGTTAATCACATACAGGTGTGTGTGCCAGAGCTGCATTTGTGCAGTGCATGCCTCATAAATGTTCGTGTGCATGTTTGCAGACCACAAAGTGGATGGCTGGCTTTTCTCGTAAAGGCCGGCACAGATGTCACTTAGGTTGTTTTTTTTCCCCCCCCCTAAAGCAGTTGAGGTTTTCTTTAGAACATGTGTCTGCATCCTGCAACCTTGTTTTCATAATGACAAAAATAGATTTCTTGATATACAACAACACCAGCATGGCCGTTTATGTAGGTTACTGTGGGCGATGCTATACATTTTCCAGCCTTTCTCGCATGATTTCTTTGGATCCTTTGCAAAAGTTATGCTTTGGCTTTCAGAAGACATGTTAGGACATGAACATGCAAGAAATGGCATGAGGTCACAGGTACTACAAACATAAACAGTACTTATAAGCTCAATGTAAATTATATTTTTTAATTTGAGTACAATGCCTGCCAGACATTGCAGTTTTAAAATGTTTTAATTTGTAAAAAAAAAAATAAATAAATAAATAAATAAATTGCTTACTTTTCCTGTGAGCTGACATGAGATCACAGATTCAACACGGTATATTGAGGACTTGCAAACAGGACACAGACAAAGCAGATACAAAGAAAATAGCAAAAGTATTCACCTCCTTTAGGTTTTTTTATTCACATTTTGTCATCTCACAGCTACAACTTGTTTAGGGAAATCAGAGTAAAGGGGGCTGAAGACAAATGCACGGCCACAACTCGTGCTGGTTTGACATATTAGGCGTGTGGTTGCAAGGTACTAAAATGTGAAAACAAAACAAAACAAAAAAAAAACTTAAGTGGGAGTAAATACTTCTTCAAAGCAGTGTAGCTATTATAAGTCATCTTGTGACTTACAAACTCTAGGAATAAATTCAACCAAGAGGGTGTTTTAAATAAAACTTTTTAATTATGTTATCCAGTGACATGCCAGAGCACCAACCCTCGTGTCTTGTCTAAGTGTTATGATTTTTTTTTACTTCGTAGCAAAGCCTGCAAGAACACTAGAACGCTACAAAACCCTTTGGCAAATTGACACCGCACTTGAGAGTGACGCTGGAATATATTTGGACGTCCTGCACGTCAATCAAAATTTCGCGGCATCCTATTGGTCCTCCCTCACGATATTATCGTTCCATCTTGCGGTCGCGTACTCTGTTGTCCTCATCCGCGAGTTGACGTAGATCCCCTAAATTTGTGGCTGGGCCATTTTGTGTCTCGCTCACGATTTTAGAGCCTTGACATTTTACGGCGCGTCTGTTAAACGCTGCGCATAAACGTAAACTGTCAAAAGCCGCCTGATTTGGATTCTTCTCCTTATTTGAAACCTGACACCGCTGATGTTTCAGCGCCCATGTCCTCCCGTAGGTTGTGCGCTGCGGAGTGATATTCCATTGGAACCGACAATGTGGAGGCTGTGAAAATGTCTACTTGGGAAAAGAAATGATTGCAGTTTCTCCAAGTGAAAGGAAACAGAGTACCGCAAGAGTTATGGTCCGCGTTAAAGACGCGAGGTCGGCTTCATAGCGAAGACAAACAACGAGGCGAGACAACAAAGGAGCGTTTTATATTGTCTTTCCTGCGCTTCATCAAGCCCACGGACCGGGACCACAGGAGAAGGATTCTATCCCTAACTTTGTTTTTCCTCTCTTATATATTGCCGTATCACTACTCGCTGCTGGATGCTACACTGCTGACTCCAGGTAAATGTGAACGTATTCAAAACAAGCTCATTCATGCGAAGCTGGAGTTGTATTGTTACGTTGATTTCTGGGTAATAACTAAGTTTTAAGCGCAGCGATTAAGTTGTTGGAGGGCTACAGCCGGGGAAAAGAAAAGCGGGGTGTTGGATTTTCCTCCCTTCTTTCGGTCTCACCGAGGTCCACTGTGTGGTTACACAGCATTTAGCAGTCCTGGGTGTGATGGAAAACACTTCTTTGTTCATTTCTGTAAGCTATAATGTTATTAGCATATTACCGGAGTGAGTTAGCTCCCCTGGGGTCTCGGCACTTATATGTGGGTTTGCGTTTGATCGCAAGCCGTTGACTTCTTTTTATATCACTCATGTTGCGTTTATGACCAACGCGAGCCTGTTTTACGTTCAGTTACGTTTAATATTCAATTGTGCCCAAAATCGCTGTTAAATAAGCGCATAGTGTAAAAATAACAGCAGAAAATAACTTGGGTATTTTCCCCTTCTCTTCCACCCAGCCTTCTACCGTTATAACCGTCGCTTGCAGCTCTTAATGCAGTACTTTGTAATTCCCACACACTTGTAAACTAGCTACAGTAAAATATAATTGTAATAATAAAAAGTGAAGTGGTTTATTACAATCGATTAATATTCATTAAACTTTTTGTGGACTCAGTCTTTGTGCTCATCTCGATGTGAGAGGGCAGGCAACAGGTTTTTTTTTTTTTTTTTTCCCCTCAGATCCTTTTAAACGTCCCGCAGCATTTCCAGGCCCGTAGGTGAAGACATTTAAACTCCGGTGAACACTGAACAGCCTGGATCCGTGTTTTCTGACGCCAGCCAGGAGCTCTTGTTTTCTGCAGCTATTTCTGCCATGTAACTTTCCCCCAAACGCCGCTGGCCAAAAGGTGGGGGTGCTCAAGACAAGCGTAATGCAACTTCCATTTGTTAGGAGGGGCTAAGCACTTATCCCCCATTTTGACCTCGGCTTGCTGAGAGACAGAAATTGCTAGATTATGTGCTGTCAGCGTATTGTTCTTTGGTCGCATTCCGCGCATGCACCCCTATTTACAGCCTCTTGGTCGTTACACCGCTGCAGTGTTTATTCATTTTAGACATGCTAATGCAGAGAAAGCAGAGCAGTTACTATACAATGATGACGTTAAGTAGAAGAAAGGGCGAGTGCATAAAATCTCACCCTTTCTCCACAACTTATTAATATTCATCACATCACTTCTTGTTTATCTCCTCCCAAATCCCTCTCTATAATTTGCAACATAAATTGGTTTGTAACCCCAATGACATGCCAAGAGACACAAGTATTTACATACATAATAAGAGCAAGAAATATAGATATTTTGTGTTGTTTTTTTGTTGGCTGTAAATGTATCACTGCAAATGGCCAGAAAAAGTCGTTCAATATCAGATAGGCCACTTCATTACAATAGTTGTATTTGGCACTGTAACCACTCTGCTACCCGTTAGACAATTACTGAATTAAATAATATTGAAGAGCTCATCGAATCAATAGTGGCAAAATAGTTCATAGATCAAAAATAACAATCCTTACTGTGATATATATATATATATATATATGGTTGTCACACTGAGCCTGATTTAGATGCCACTCAAGCAAAGCCTTGAACTCTGATATATATTTCTCTTTTGGGGGGGGAGAGAGGAGGTCAGTAACTAAATACTGACCACCTCCTAATTTAAAGAATCTCCATTCGGTGTGGGATAATCCTGTCCAGATTTTAAAAGTCTTGATTTTGTACACATTTTTTGGAACAGCCAAAAAGCAATAAAAGAGGAGGAAAACTTCTGCATCATGTCATTTCATGATTTCTGAAGCATGCAGCTCCCTAAACCTCACTAGTTAAATATTTTGTTATTTGTTCACAATTGTCCCGGATATTGTTAAACAAAACTGATTGATAAATAATAATAATAATCATTATAATAAATTCATTTGGGGACAGAATGGAGGTTTGTAGGAAGCCTATATGCTGTTCCCTTGTGATTATTTTATTTTAAAACGCAGCTCGTCGGCAAGGCCATAAAAATAAATGAGTTATTCAGGTGGTATTTTTGGAGTCACATCAGTTACGTCTGGAAAGCACAGGAAGTTTAATAGGTCACAAATCTCTAACCATAATGCGATGATTGTTGTAGCATTCTGCTTTTTCTCTTCCACTCTTTTAGCTAGACAGCTTACAATGAAAGAGTTGCGCCTAACAATCTAAAAGAGAACTTAACTAGGACACTTCATTACATTATTGATTTTTTTTTTTTACATAATGTACATGTACAAATGTACAAATTTTGTAATATATTTCAGGAAAAGCCACTGAACCAAAGCGATCATGTTTCTCAAATGGTCAAAAGCTCCAATGCAACAATAAACTCAAAACTCTTCATTAGTTAAAACAATTAAGTTCATATTTAATAACTGGTTATGACCTAAGAGAACATCAAAACCCTCTTCTTCTTTTTTTCAAACCAAATCCATAATTGTAGTTTTAAAAGACGTCTTTTTTTCTTTTAGTCACATGGAACATTTGTGTTGATGTTGGCTGGCCATAAATTGCCACTTTAGGATTCCAGCATGCTGTGTTATCACTCTGTAGACTTCAGTGCACAGAGATGCTAAAAACACAGTTGGGTTTTGATGTGGAGTCAGCACCCAAGTCCAGGGGCTGACTAAAAACCAAATGCAGCGTGGCCTGTGGCTGAACCATGGTTTGATGTGGGCTACTTTTAGAACTGCTTTTACTTTTCTCACTACCTGATCAGAACTCTGACTAAATTGTCGGATGTGAGGGTATAAAGATAGTTCAGTTTAAAGCGGGGATGCAGATATTGGTTAGTTGATTAGTCCGGTATTTGATTGTTTTAGTCCTGAAATAATCAGATAAGATATTTATGATTTCTTATGAAAACAAAACGCCCTTAAACAAACTATGCACAGTGTCCTTTTGTACGTTTAATATGAATATATGTTTTTTTTTTATTATTAAACAGACATAAAGCTAAGATCATTCAAGTAAATAAATTCATATGTTTTTTCTGCCACAAAAAAAATAATTAATTTTTTTGAAATAATTCAAAGATTTATTTGATTTATAAATCTTTGATTTATAAATCAAAGATTTATAAATTTAGTGACTAAAACCAAATCTTATTAACATACATAAATTATTCTGATGGACGAAAGGCCGTGTGAAGCAATACAAACTTTATCCACTCATTTATTAATCATCTTCAGAGGGATTGACTTGTGAGAACTTATTTTTTGTATCTTTTTTTTAACCACAATTAAAAGCTTCCTCATTCATTAAGTAGTTGTGTTTTTTTTTCTTCCTTAATGTATTTGTGTAAAAGTCAGTTAGCGTAGCAGACCAACTCACATATGGAAATAGCTGTATAAATGGAATTGCTTGTGCGTCAGTTCTTATTTTCTGAGCAGAGACATGGCAACGATTAATCTGTCTTTACTGACATTGTTGTTGTTTGGGGCTGGCCTCACACGTTTGTTTTTAGCCGAGTTTGAAACCAGTTGCTTTAAATGAACTGAATGATTTCTTTTTTTTTTTTTTTTGGCGATCCACCTTTAGCATTTCCAGCTGCGCGGCACAGGGAGAATTCGATCCTCTTTGGGAATTAGTGATAGCAAATAATCGGGCGTTGTTCATCTTTCTTCTAACGAAGCTCGATTTTAACATTCCATGTAAAGATTAAACGACATTTGCTGTTGTCAGCATGGCTGATGTTTTGAAGGAGGAATGCAGCGTTTACACAGCTCTCTACACTAAAATACACAGTGCAGAAAACGGTAATCTTAATCAATGCATTTAATGTAATCAGTATCGAGTTACTGACGCAAAATGACGTCGTGTTGTTTGTGCTTGTCCTTGTAGTCTGTAGCTGAGACTGTAAAGGCCCAGTGAACAGCATCAGAGAATGGCTACAGTGGAAAACGACAAGGAGCTGAGCGACTTGCTGGATTTTAGTGCGGTAAGGCCCCTGCTAAGCCTCATTGTTGCCTTCGTAATCCATTTCATTTTAACAATAAGCACCAAACCTGGTGACGAGTACCTCGAAATGGGAATGAATGAGATTCATTCTCAATGAGGAAGAAATGTGTTTAAGCAGCCATGCTTTTTTTTTTTTTTTATATATATAAAGCTCTGTTTGTCTTGGCTCAACTTATTTATTTATTGTTTTGTCACAAATCATAGCTGAAAGACTCGGGTTGCCCTGTGTTTATTGCAGTTGTTCGCAAAAGCACGTAGGACAGTTTGGATTACGCTCTGATCAACGTTTGCATAAACGTCGAGGGAACATTCAAATGTTTTATTGCCTTGCCGTGGTTTTTACAGATTTATTGCTCTCCTTTCAGATGTTTGAACCTCCAGTTTCGAATGGAAAGAATGGGCCGACTACTCTCGCCAGCAGCCAGTTTGGAGGTCCCGGTAAGAGATAATACACAAAAGAGACGGTTTGTTTGCCTTTCCTTCACCTGTAGTCAGTGGCCGTATTGCTTGGTAATGCTTCTGTGACTTTCTAAAAATAAATCTATTAGAGCCCATCTCCAGTCTCACTACCTCATTTTTACTCTCTTGCTTTCTTTCCAGTTGTAATAGAATAATACATGGTTCCCGTTTCCTTGTTTTAGTTTTCATAAATTGAGAATTCATCATCAGATGCACAAATCCAACCCTCATATTAGCGTTTAAAGCATGCATGCAACGTCAATGTTGTCAAATAATAACCAGGACACTCCAAAAATCGGATGGTGGTGCTTTTGTATGTCTGCTGGAGTTTTATATGCCGACCCCAGGCGCCGTTTCCCTGCTCTACCAGACCCAATAGTCGCAGACAAAACAAAGTTCTCTGCTACCATTGTGTTTTTTGGAGGTGCATTAAGTCTTTCAACAAGCATCAGAGAGCAACGCGATATTCAAGGGGAAGATCAAAGACGACACGTTCGGTTGCTGGGTGGGGTTATCAGGGGCTCTGTTTCATCTACTCACAAGAAAGCCACTTGTGTTGTTCTTCTGTAAGGATCGGGCGCGCTCTTACAAACGAGGCATGTAGATGTTATCAATCCTAACGGCTTCTCATGAGGCACCTACGGCCCACAGGAACCGTACCAGGGCTCTTTGAGCTATTCGAACAGGTCGCTCCTCATTTCTGCATCTGAAATGCCTGAACTGAGCTTAGCAGGTATTCCTAAGACTCTTGTTCAAGAGTTTGAACAACTTGTTTATTTTTAGTGCTTACCTCAGAGTTGGACCTTTTGCAGCAATGAAATAAGTAAATGCACCCAACAAAAGAAAATTATGAAGCGACTTTTAGCTACTTAGCTCAAATTAGGGAGTTGTTTTAGCAGAGGATATAAGAGGCTCAGCGGAAATCCAGACACCCTAGGCACACACCCCTGGCATTGAAATGAGCTGTGCTGTTTGATGTCTAATATCAAAGCTCCAAACTCTTGATTCCTGATGAGTAATTATGTAACAGTCATTAGTCTTACACACATACTGAGTTAAGCGTGGGCTGGTTACTGCTGCCAAGGTATGCCAAGGATTTTTTTTTTTAAGTTACCCTTTCAAAACCACAAACATTTGAGAAAAGTAAAGTAATTTTTAACATGAAAGTTTAAAAAAATAAAATCTAAATTAAAAACAGATTCATTAATTTTTCTAAACTGATTCTACATTGTTTTATTATTTATTATGAGATGAATGTCTAATTTCCTTCTTGATTGGAAAAAAGTTGGATATGGGCCAGAGTTATGAATATTTTGGGGCTTTACTGTGTGGTGATGCCATGAAACTGTCCTACGTGAGGTCATCATCATTCCTCATTAGTCTCATACCTGCCCACATGGCACCATGAGAGACACCTGATGGGTTTAAAAGTTTCCATATGGCTCTAAAGTAGTCATTTACATGTTTTTTCCCCCCTCACAATTCATATGGTTTAAATGTGAAACTTTACCATGTGTTTTTGTGCTCTTGTTCTGAGCTGTCAGTGATTATCATATCTGTTCAATCCAGTCCACTGTTTTTCTTTTTCTTTTTTTTTTTTGCGTGTGCTTTCATTTTTTTAGTTCACAAGAAACCGAGACTCCTAACGTGTATTTTTAGGGTGGTATGGGTAGAAATTCTGACTGGCTTGTGATATAAATTTGCATGAAAAGGTTCCTTGTTTCAAGCAGATGTGAAACTGAATTTGAAAAACTCAGGTGGGAAAGTTACATGAAGGTCTGTTGTGTAAAGTCTGACGATCCACTGCTTATTATTGTAAAAATTGTAAAAAAAAAAAAAAAAAAAGATCCAAACTATCGCTGGAGAACAGTCGAATGTAAGCTGCGTGCGTTTAAAGGATAGTATGTCACATTGTCCTGCACTTAGGAAGTCTCCTGTGACTAACAGGTTTAAAGAGTCAGCCCTGTGTCATTGTACATTGTTCATTATTTCATTAACAGTGTTTTCTCTCTTGAGATCGTATCTGACATCACGCTTTGTGTCTGCGTGACTCACTTTTCCAGGGAAAAGAAGAAGTCGCGCAGACAAACGGACCGCTCGGTTGTAGTTGGCCTGGGGCAGCGTTCCAGTAAAAACCAAGACATGCCTGCATGTTTGGTCAATATATCTGCCTGCGTTTCGCTCACAAAGTCGGTGACTCAGGCTGTCTGTCTGTTTCCGATAGCTCTGTCTGTGCTGTGTAATTATAGACCAGCCAACCTTAAAGGGGTGTTGCATGCTGGGAGGAAAAGTGCATTGGGGTTCTCGGGAGAATTTTTCTGTTACTCATCCTCTTATTCCTTTTCCTGCTTATAGATATTGTAGCCTGTCTGAGCTGATATTTGTGATTTTGGCATGGCGTTCTGTAGGACTAATGAAACTTAGTATGTTCGAAATCAATATTAGTGTCATGCTTCACTAGCAATCAGCAGTATGGTCTGCTGTAGCTGCTGTAGGAATCAATATTCACTCATTAAACTAAATGAATTGAAGCATTGTAAGAAATCTTGATGTGGAAAGATTTGGTGAAAAGTGTAGGAACATTTTTTAGGTTCAGCAGACTGAGATTCATTCAGCAGTATGCACAGCGCAAGTGTAACTGCAAAGAAGCCAAGAGTAGCTGCAGTTTTTGGACGAAACCTTGGACTATAATCTGATTTGTTCAAATAAAAATTGTAGCTGTGACTGACTCTAGGGTTTTATAATGAGTCCAGTGGCTCATCGTGATAATGTAGATCAACATGTTCCTGACTAAATGTCTCATTGTCTGTGATTTGAATTAAACACGCTTTAAAAAAACATGCAGTTTTTAATGTCCACTATCCTAATCGGCAGCAAAATGTTCTGCCATTATTGTTGGATTATTTTAGTCTCTTTTTTTTCAAATTGTCCCTGTAGTGTTAAGTAATTTTACTATCTGAATTGTTATTTCACAGTTACACCCTCCTTTAAATGTCTCTGAGTGAAACCATTCACAAGTATGAGCAGATGTAAACACACTTCTTTACGATTTTAACAAGTGTTTTTGTTGTTAATCTAACCCGCCTAATGCTGAGTAGTTAAAATTTCCATACTGAAATTGGGGTTATTGTAGAATTATGACACAAGTCTACTTGCTAAAGAAGTTTTTATTTTTTTAATAAACTTTGCTCTCAAACAATCAAAAAGCGCTATCCACTTGGTTCATCTTGATGTATTATGGTAAATAGCGTCAGATTGTATTTTATTGAGTCAAAAACTAGGATTAGAGTAAATCTTGGTTGGCGAATGAATTGAATTGTATCTAACTGTTGCTTGTTGTTGATGGATCTTGGGGTGCTGGGGATGCACAAAGTATCGGCATCGACATCGGTATCGGCCGATGTTGATGCCGACAGTAGAACGCCCGATGAGTAGAACGATATTTACTTCCATCTGGTTGCTGTTTATGTGTTTAACTCAAGCAGAGAAAGTTTCAAATCTAAAACATATCAGAAGTTGTTGGTGTTTTTTTTATTTTTTTATTTTTTTGATTGAAGGTGCTTGCTGATGACAACACGCTAAAATGTCTAACGTGTAAGTTTTGCTTTGATTGACAGGCAGAGCGGCAGTCAGACATGGAGAGGGGACGTGAAATTGCCTCCTTCATCTCTTATTCCGCTGGTGTCGTGTAGCTCACACTTGTCACTGCAATCTAGCTGCTTTTGGCACTATGGAGCCATTATTCTGTTCTACTGCTGATCCTGTCAGGATTCTCGCACCCCCCTTCCCCCCTTAGCTTTTTAATTAGACAACAAAACAAAAATATGAATATTCATAGGGCTCAGCCTCATTAATATGCACAATTATGCAAATACGAGTGCAATTAAACTTCAGATTTCCCCAAGAGATGCTGTGTTGCAGTACGAGAGGAGATTTGAGAGCGAGGGGATTGGGCAGAGATTTCTGCTCCACAAATCTTTAACATCCCTTCCTTAAAGCTGCTCCGGCCCGCGATGGCACATGCCAGCCGTGTGAGTTTGGACGGTGAGCCTCGCGCTAAGGTGAAGGTGTGGGCCTAAGCGTGTGGGAACAAATGGGCTATGAATGAGTGTTGCCATGGAAAAAGCGTAAAGGAGTGGAGTGTGGGAGACCGAGGAATGTCGAGGATGATTCTGGAAGCCTCGTACTGGGTGTTAATTATTCAAACTTCCTACAGCTCAAAATCCAGACTATGTGACAGCGCCGTCACAGTGCTGTCTCGCTCTGTGAGCTTTGAAGTTTCTCAATGTAGGTTGCATTAAGGAGCCTGAAAAACCTGTATCAAAGCAAGTCGTCACTTTTTCAAGTGACACATTTGTTGCAAGACGGGGACATAAATCTGTGATCATAATGCTATTACCTTTTGGCTGACGGAGTTTTTTTTTGTCCCAACAGGTGTAGATGAGAGGAGAGGGTCCAGTCCGTGGGGACCAGGGGAGCAGACTAGTCCATCTTTCAACCAGGGAAGGGTATGATTTATTTTAGCCTCGGCCGTAGAGTGCAGCAGATGTTGTGTTATTCTTCACGTGTTGCGTGATTTATTGCTTTATACCTCTTTTACACACAGACTGCAACATTATGAAGTGCTCTAGATTTGACCACTTATGCATTACCAGTGCTGCCGATGATTAATGCTGGGTTGTGACCTGCCTTCCTGGGCTTAAACAAGAGTGTAATTTGTTATTTTCCAATTACATGTTGATTGAAAACATAGAAAAAAACTTATTAAAATAATAGCAGGTGACTTTGAAAGTATGCAGTAATATTACATTCGTGCTTAAAGTTAAATAGTAAAATTCGGGGCCGCAACTAACAATTATTTTAGTAACCAATTATTCATACAATTAATTGCATAAAAAGATTATCACATTGTGTAGATGTTTCATTTAACCACTTAAGCCTTTTTTTTTTTACACAATATTAGAAATAATATTAAAATATGCAAATGAACAAATAATTCAATGCATTTTTTAAAATAACAAAATAAACATTTTATTGCCAACAGTGCAATAACACAGCCTTCTTTTAGTGTATGCTTGATCAAAATGATTAATTTTTGCATTAACCAATTCAGAATTGTAAAATATCAAAAGGTGCTTGAGAGAAAATGTATTTTATTTTATTTTATTTTTTTACAGAATTTGAAAATTGTCAAACTATAACTATGCCACATGAGGAGTTCTAGGCGGAACATATTTACAAAGGATTTAAAAAACATCTTTAATGCAAATGAATATGTTTATATATATTTGACTTCATGTTCTTCTGCAAATGTCCTTTCATTGAGTCTGTGAAATCCAGTTAACGATTAATCAAGTCCTAGATTCGTTGACGATTATTTCAATAATCAATTAATCACGATGAATCCAATTAATCCAATTAGTCTTATAATTAATATATTATGTTGTTGCATTTTGATGCAGATGAACTGAAAATCAAAGGATGCCATCTGCTTATTTTTGATGCAACTACGAATGAAGTGTTATTCCGTCTCTTTCTCTCAGGTTTTCGAAGAGGGCCTTTACAGTGAGAGAGAAAGTCTGGCCTCTACCCCCGTATTTGGACCAGGCATTGCTGGTAAGAAGATTTTAATTCAATCTGAGCTCTCGAAGCACAGACATCACCACTTTCAAATCATCCCTTCTATTTTTTTAAATTTATTTATTTATTTTTTTTTCATTTTTGCAAATTGGTAAAAAAAAAATTGTCAGTGTCGGACTAAGTGATGGAGGAATGTGTTAACTGGCACTCAGACTCGTACATCAATGCACAGTGTGACTGAACAGAACAACAAGCAGTTTGTTTTTCAGAGCAGCCATTCACAAGTCCGGCACTCATGTGGCAGTTTAGGGCAGCGCATGTTTCAGGATGAGGGGGAGCAGGGCAAACGGGGAGGATGTGGAGGAGGGCTTTGTTTGTGTGTGTTCGCTATGGGAGGGGTGGGGGGTGTAAAGGGAGGGCACCCATGCACAAACAGGGCTCTCCCTGGGGAAAACAGTGGACTATAGCGCTTCTCTGTTTAACTGTCAGCGGAGGGGGCAGAGTTTGGATACAATTGCCCCTGGAGCATTTGTAATGAGTCTATTTGGTTCATTTAAACACTGCAGCATATACATTCACCTTGCAAATGCGATGAATGGCAGGGCAGTGTGATTACATACATAACATTTGCCTTTTAACGATCCTCAAATCTTTTTCTTTATTTTAACAGGGAAAGCTGAACGAGGGTCATACTCATCATTTGGGACGCAGGTGAGTCTTTCAAAGAAAATAAAGTCATACCAGCAACAACGTGACAAAGGGAAACCTGCAGATTAACACAAAAATAAATTCATGCAAGCATACCACTGTCGCAATGGATTTGTGGATACAAATAGGGCTGCAATTATTAATCGGATTAATCGTGATTAAACGATTATTGAAATAGTTGTCAAAGAATTTAGTAACTGATTAATTGTTAACTGGAATACAGAGGCTCAAAAAAAGGCAATTTGCTGCAAAGCAACATAGTCAGTGCAGTAATTAAGCCAAAGATGTTAAAAATAAATATATATATTTTGCATCTGTGATTAAAAAAAATATCATTTGGACCAGACTCAGAACTTCCTCACCTTCCAATTTGCTGTGATATAGTCTTGATTTTATCTCTGAGTACTAATCTACTCTAACAATTAAAGCTGTCCTTCACGTCTAAGTCCAGAAATCAACTGAGCTCTCAGTTTATAACAACAAACAGGTTATTTTTAAGACAGATACATATCAATGATAACCTTAATTTTCTCTACATGTTCATACTGCTGTTTGAACGGGCTTTTGCCTCTCTTCTCTTTAAACCGTCTGTAGCCTGGTTTTATGCCAAGTGAGATACCCCTGCCCAGTCCTGACAGCCTCTCTCCGCCTTCTGCCAAGTCCAATTCCCAGTTTTATTCATCCTATGAGAGGAAGAGACCCGCACAGGACCTCACTGGTAAGAATGAAGGCATGTGCATTTTTTTTTTTCTTTTCATCAGACGTACGTTTGTCTCCTCTGGTTTTTGTTTTACAAATGATGTCTCCGTTCTGATCTATATTTACATCTGTGGGTTCCACCACTTCTATTGTAAGTGTTAAAACGTGGTTTCGAGTTCTTCCTTCTTATTCGGTGGAGAAAGTAGCATTACCTCCTTCTCAGTACACAGAAATACACAGAACTTTTTTCTGGTTGTGCAGGAATTATGAGGCTGCACAAAGGCTGATAGGTCTAAAAGGAAAACCTTTATTACGTATTGTGTAGTGGCTTTGTCTTTAGATATCAATCTTTTCATTTTTATGAGGTTTCCTTTCTGTCTTTTTCCCAGCAAATCCGCAGCCAAAAAAGATCCGCAAGGTTCCTCCTGGCCTGCCCTCCTCAGTAAGTAGACACCTCCAGAAAACCTTCCCCCTGTGCTACACCTCGGTCTGTAACGTTGATTCCATGTATCCCAAAAGTTTCAGTTTTTAAGCCTAACGAAAATGTTCCCGTTTAGTTTTGCATCTGGAGCCCTTCCTCTGGATCTCGAGCGGTATAATAGGAGCGGCGCGGGCCTTTTAGGTCGAACATCTGTGCTTCTTCAGCGCCAAAGTCAAAAGGCAACAGTGGGGGCAAGCCACTTATTCACCCAGTCACTTATTTGCAGCATATATTTATAGTATGTTGTACTTGTGGGCCCTTGGCTTTGTGGCCACACTTCGTCCTCTCTGCCAAGTGTACTCATCAAATCGCCGAGGAGATTTTGTGCTGGAGGGGGTTGATGGTTTTTGGTCCCTCTCTTTCTTTCCCTCCCTCAATGTTTCCCTCTATGGACACCCTGTTTCCTCATTTTTTTTTTCTTGCTCGCTGCCCCACCTCGCACAGCCTCGCTCTCTCTCCTCTTCTACAACCATAAACAACAGCCCTCCCCCATCCCTCCATCCCAGCTGCCAGCGGAGTTGGCTGCTGTCCAGGATTCGGCAGATGGTTCAGTAATTAGGAGTGCATCTCCCTGTTCCCTCTTCTCCTCTTCATTCTCTTTTCCTCTTCCTTTTTTCTCTGTTTAATCAAATTACAGAAGAAAACTTCAGACCTACTATGATCAGAGTTTTACAGACATACTTGGTTTCTTGATTTTCTCATTTTGGACGGAGGTGGTACAGAACAGTGGCTTCTTTATTCCCACCTCAATATGAAGATTGTATTTGATTGATCAAAACTTTGTTTGTTAAGGAGATTGAACTCCATGCCTGTGTTTTAACAGCGTAATACACTGAAATATGTTTATGGGCTCGAAAAGGAGTCTGGCTCTTTACATTTCATACTGTCTCATCTTTAGTTTCAAATCTAAAGAAACGTCATTTCATCCAGATAGTAAAATCCATGTTAGCCTGAGTAGCACTTCAGCTTCAAAAGGAAATAGATTTCGATCGTACACGGAGCTAAGCGTGTTGTAGTAAAAGCTTTACGAAAAAGATTTTATGCAAACTCAAAAAAGTGTATTTCTTTTGTAACAATATTACACGATATCGAAAATACTTTTTATACTATCTAATAATGAATTATATAGTTAGGATGACCAAAATTACTTATATTTGCTATTTTTTTTAAAATGGTTTTCTTAAAGAGAGAACTGATATTATTCTCCCTTTAAGCAATCAGGGAAAACCCAGATGATAACATAATAGTTTTGTAAGCTTCTGACATGTTCATTCACGACATTTGAGTTAAATGAACACCTCGAAAACACGGGTACCTTGTGTGACATCAAGGATTAATAAAATAAAATAAAAAAAATCAGCCAAGTTGAAAAAGGGAATAGTGAAACTGCACAAGTCTGGTTCATTCTTAGTTACAATTCCCAAATATATGAAAGTGCAGTCCATTCAAATAATCACAAATAAGTCTAAATGCCTTTTGAATGAACAGTCATCTCAGTGATGAGATGACTGTTCCCGTCCCAGAAGAGAATGAGTTTTGGTCTGAAATCTGTGAATCATCCTTAGAACAAAGGGGCTGACCCTATGAAAACGCTGGCTGAAGATGGTGAGACAGTGTCACTATCCACAGCGAAACACATTCTGTTTACCAACATCGCTGAAAGGCAACGCAGAGAGAAAAAAGCCATTGCTCCAAAAGCAACACAAAAAGCAAGGTTACGGTTTAAAAATGCACTAAAGGACAAAAACATTCATTTTTTCGAGTTTTACTGTCTGATGAAACTAAAGTGGAGCCGTTTGACCATCATGACCATCATTACATTTGGATGAAAAGGGTCAATAAGCCTGGGAACACCATCCCAACTGTGAAGTATGGTGGTGGCAGCGTCGTGCTGTGGGGTGGCCTGCGACAGGAGGAACTGGTGCACTTCATAAAATAGATGGCATCTTGAGGAAAGAAAATAATAGCGTAGAAAGGCTCCTTTACTGAGTGACACCGGTTCTGTCAGGAGGAACGGGACAAAATTCCAGCAAGTCGTTGATATGAGCTTGTGAAAGGAGACCAAAACAGTTTGAACCAAGTTAAACAGCTCAAAGGAAATTCTGGTACATATTAGGAAAAAATGTAAGAAAGCTGTTGGATTTGTAGAAATTACTCTGGCATTCAGCAGATATAAATTATTTGGGCAATCTAAAAGAGAGAAACATTAGTCTGATCATTTGGGGTAATTTGTCTATTTGTACAGCGTATGGAAACATGTGGTTCGAGCTCACTCTGTCAGACTTGGTCATCATTTCACTTTTCTATTTGTAGGTTTACCCCACAGCCACAGGAGAGGATTTTAATCGGGACACCACTTGCTTCCCAGCCTCCAAAGCAGGAAATGTCTACCAACCAGCGTACTACATGCAAGGTCAGTTGAAACAATATTTTCCTCTGGAGTCTCTCCTAGTTCTTTGTGTTTAGATGAAAAGTTTAGTCTGGCAAAGACGACAATTTCCTGGAATTTTCCTTTGAAGCCAGCACAGCTGGGAGAGTCGGTTCCTTTACTGTGATATTGTCCAGATGAGCCGTAGGTGCTGTGGTTGTAGGCTACCGACAGCCCCGCGGGTCAAACGGTGAATCACGGTTGAATACAGTCATCACGCTGATATGACACGGCTCATATGTGGCCTTCATTGTCTTCTCTCCTGCGTCTGGTTGTGGCTCTGCCTTATTTTCCATGTTTCTCTGCTGGATTCCCCCTGACAGATGCCCACCCGCCCTCTGATCCTTGGGGCTCTGCCGGGTCGATGATTCAGCCTGGATACTCTGCCGTGTTGGGGAACTCCCCCCATCTGGGCCAGCACGGTCCATTCACTGCCATAAACCCTCAAGACAGAATGGTGTGTTCAGTTTTTTTTTTTCCCCTCCTTAATTTTTGTTACTTTTTTTTTCTCCACTAAAGCTTCTGCGTCCTTAACGCTGTATGTGATGTTCTCTTTTAAGAAGCGGCATCCCCTTCCCCTCTCACCCCAGAACTACCCCCTGCATGGCAGCGAAGTGAACGGAGCTCATCCCACCAGCTTCCACGCAGGCTCCAGCAGCTTCGGAGTCCCCAGCCACACACCCCCCATCGCTGGCACTGAAACGATTATGGGTAAGTCATTTGTGTGCCATTTCAGCTTCAAATGTCAGAGTAATTTTGTTTTTAATATATTTATATAGGTACCAAATTAAGTGTCAGAACCCTTGATTCTTTTTACATTTTATAACATTACGACTGGAAGATTTGAAGTAATTTATTTAGATTTTCTGATTGGCCAACACAAAATAATGCGTAACTTTGAAGTGTAATTTGAATAAACCACCTTTCATTTCAATTTCAGCTGAAAAATTGTCTTGCGGTTTACAGCAACAAGTGGGGGAGGGACAGTAGCGTTTTACTTTACATTCCAGTCTCAAGTTTTTTAAGCTCCTTTCACATCACACGGTGGTGGCGGAATCATGCTGTGGAGATGCTCTTCTTTCATTTTTGTTTTTTCAGTCTGCAACCCAAAGAGCAGAAATGTACTCTGATCATATGCCGTCGTTTTTTTTTCTTATTCATAAAAATAAAGTATATACCAACTAAGGACAGTATGGGAGAACAAGAAGAAAATCAAAACAAAAATCACTTGTGCACAGTAGTATATACCGTACATGTGTGTTATTTAGGACACAGATGGACAGAAAGACAAATCAAAACAGGATACACACATACAAAGAGAAAAGCACAAGTAGGCTGATTAATCCAGCTCCTCTACAAAATCTGGCCACAGAGGGAGATGTTTTTTTTTTTTTTTTTTTTTTTTTTTAACAGGGGTTAAAGGTTGAAAAAGACCTGAGGCTCCTTCAGCAGGATAACGACCCTAAAATGTCTGAGCTGTGATGAAAACGGTTTAAAATGAAACATGTTCGAGCGTTAGAGTGGCCTAGTCAAAATCCAGACCTAAATCCACTTGAGCTCTACATCCATTCTAATTGACCGTGTTCTATTATGCAAAGAAGGATAGAGGAAAATGTCAGCTTCTAGATGTAGAAAAAAAGTGACTAAAACATTTTCTAAAGCATTTAAATACATTTGCATGCCACACTTTTATAAGGTTTTAATTGCTAAACCACAAAAGGACAACAAAAGCAAATTACATGTTCTTTTTTTCCCCATCCGCTTCACGGTTGTGCCGTATTTTCACACTACTACAACCTAAAATTCCCACAAAATACATGAAAGTCTGTGGTTAGAATATGACAAAATGTGGGAAAAGTTCAACAGGTATGAATACTTTTGCAAGACGCTGTACACCGAAACCAATTAATATCTTCTGCTTTTATTTACGAATCAAATCGTGGTGCTGTACCAGTAAGTTCGGGTGACGAGATTGGAAAAGCCCTGGCATCAGTAAGTAGCTGTAGAGTACATATTTATAATCAAGTAACACTGTTAGTGACACAGGACTCTACAGATTATTTGTCGTTTTCTGAGGCAATATAAATGGAAGTAATACACATTTTTATTTTGAGTGAAAATCAGAACTTCTTTGTTCAGATTTATCCTTCAGACCCAAACAGTAACGCTTTCCCTCCGTCGCCGTCTACTCCCTCCGGTTCACCACAGGCTGTGTCAGGTGAGTGGAAAACGTGCAATCTGAAGAAGAAGCTCCACATGTTGGGTGCAAAACGGACTGAAAACATGTCAAGTTAAAGTTTTGCGTTTGTGCGACAGTAAAATGCTGTTCCAAATGTATCTAATACATCAACCATGTGCAAAGTTAGAAGCTTATAAGTAAAGTCTGAACTTAGCAACTGTGCAACAAAAACTACTACTGAAACAAATCATCTTATCAGATATTGGAGATTTATTTAATGTGAATAAATAAGATGAAAATAGCAAAGTAGTAAAATCTTTTTTTTTTTTTTTTTTTTTAAAAAAAAAAAAAAATTCCCCTCTTTATTCAAATTTTTTCAAAAAAAAAAAAAAAAACTACTTTTACAGCAGAAAAGCGGCATTTCTCTTGATTTCATGTTTATTTAAAGTCACTCCACCCACAGTGTAACTTTCATGTACGCTCACCAGCCTGATATAGCTTACGAGAGAGGAAGGGAAAATACAGTAAAAATGAAAACAAGGTGGGGTCACTTCCCTTTTTTTCTCTTCAATCAATCCAAGCATTAACTCATGACACCCTGTGTGTATAAAGTACTGAAACGATGCAAAAGTTAAGAAAATAATTTGAACTATTGCCTGAAAAACACAAAGTCGTATTTACAATGTGTTTTAGATTTACAAAAATAACCATTAAGTGTTGGGGTGGCTTCTGGAAATTGATGTGTTGAATTTCTTTTTTTTTAATTATTATTATTATTAATAACAAAAAGTGCCATACTGCAAAATCGAATCACTTGGTAACAATAACGGCAATAAGTGAGAACTTCTCTGAAATGGTTGTTTTCCTTGCTCGGTTTTCAAAACGTGTTGGGAAGCAGTTTATGTATTTATTTTTTGGCATCTTGGAGGAGTTTGCCGCAGTTCATCCGTAGATTTCGACAGTTTCCGCGTGTAATCCCGTAATAAGAGCTTTATGCTTTTCATACCATCTGTAGCTCGACCTTTTGTTCTTCTGGTGGCTGAAATCACAGTTTGTAATCCCCGTTTGGATCGTTTTCAATCTGCACGTTGACAAATTTGGAAACGGCCTCACCGAATCTGCCTTTGCCAATGCACTCCTCAGTGCTGCATTGTTGTTTCAGACAGTAGTCAATCAAAACGGCCTTCTGTTCAAGGCGAGCGTTTCAGTTTTGTTTTTTGTTTTTTTTGACTTGCTAGACCAAAGCACCCACTGTCAGCTTGGCTTTGTTTCCACGTCAGAAGAATGTTTTCTGGCTTGTGCGACCAGACGTCTCCAGACTGTAGGTGGGTGTACCAGGGTCCTGGCGGTGTCTGGACGTTCTGAGCCGATGGCTACCTGCCACAATCTGGGACGTCTGAGGGCCGATTACGCGCTTTTGCTTTCTTCAGTTTTCATAACTGCTGGCCCGAACTTCGTCTGTTTCTTTCCGCCTCTGAACAAGAGCTCACGCAGCACATCTGCAAACGACTGTCACGACGTTTCTGCCCGTTTCTTCAGGTTGACTGACATAGTCCTGATTTCTACGCTCGCTCTTTGAGTGATGCTTTAGGTAAAAGTCGCAGACTGTAAAATGTAAAACCGGCCGGCTCTCCTTAGTCTGATCGAGTATAAAACTTCTGCTTATTGTGTGCATGAGCACATTTCAGGGTTTTTACACAATGTGGAAAAACGTGGAACATGACTCATGCTTTTTTTTTTTTATTATACTGGGTAAAGATAGAAAAAGTAGAGTATGGGAAGATCTTGTGTTTCAAGACTTTATTCCCATACCTCCTGTTTAAAAGTTGTCTCCATTCATCCATTTGTCTGCTATTTATCCCCTTTAATTTTATCCTTGGTTCATTTCACTATTTCCTTCTTTTTCTATCTTAGTTTCTGTTTTTTCTTACTTATTTTTATCACTGCTTTATCCATTGTTTTCCTCCTTCTGTCCTTACTTTATCTTTTTCATTTAGCTCCTTTCTTCCTTTATCATTATTTTCTTCTTTCCTGTCATTGATGATCACTATAGAAATATCTGTCAAAGATTAATCATAGCCTTTTTGCATTTGCACAAAATTAGATAAATTGACTGAGAGCTCTGGAAATTTGTTGTGGCTCTCAACATCATCTTGATCAAATCGCTTCATTTATTTTCATCATGCACTTCAAATCTAAAAATCCCTATCATTGCACGAGTCCTCAGAGCTAAAGATGAATTTGTTTAGAGCCACATTGATTAATAACATTTGGGACGTCATAAAATTTTAACCTGTTATTGTTTCCCTTACTTTGCCTCTGCAGTGTAATGCTTCCTGCTTGTTTGTTGTTTCATTTTCCTTCTAATCATATGAAACACTGCGAATTTCATTGTTGCTGAAAACGTCCTGTAAAGATAAAATTGCCTTTCCTTGCTTCTGAACTTTAACAGCAAATCGTTCCATTAATAAATCTCCTCCCTGTCTTGTAGACACTTGTCTGATCTATAGGAATGAACCTTCTTACCATTTTTTGTTTTTCTTTTTCAAGGTTCTGCATCACAGTGGACTCGGTCCTCAGGCCAGGCCACCCCGTCACCCAACTTTGAGGGAGGAATTCAGTCCATGGTGAGCCACTTTGTGTGACGTTTAACGTAAAAACAGGGCGCGATTACATATAAGACGCTTAATCTTACATGTGTTACCCTTCTCCCCGCTCCCCAGCAGAGTAAACTGGAGGACCGTCTGGACGAAGCCATCAATGTCCTTCAGCGGCACGCCAGCGGACAGGGAGGGCCGGGACTTGCTGAAATGCACAGCCTGTTGTCGGCTGGGTTAGGGATCGCACCGGGCTTCAACAGTGCAGCTCTCGGATTGGCCAGTCGTCTGCAAGGACTGGTGAGATTCAGGAAGAGAGTTAAAATGCTATACACAGGTCACCGAGGGGGTCATGCTGCCCACATCACTTATTATTCTGCTTTGAAGCCAGCACTAACAGAAACAACTGCTTTACAGGTTTCCAGCCACCTTGAGGATTCAGTTGGTCTGCCCTCTAGTGGAGGAGTTTTGCATCACGGCCCTGCATCTGTTCATTCAGGCTCTCAGCCGGATGGATTTACAGGTGGATTTTTCTGCTCTCATTGCAATCTTTATTTTAGGTCATAAATAAGTAAAAGTGTTGCTTAGCATCTTATTGTTGTGTGTGTGTGTGCGCGCAGGCCTGCCCGGAAGCGGGAATCGTTCCGGCGGCACAGCTATCAAGCGAGAAGACAAAGAGGACGATGAGAATTGCTCAATTACAGACAAGTCAGAGGACGACAGAAAAGATCTGAAGGCTCGTCTTCGAACAAGGTGTCCAAATCATAACTGCACCATAATGTTTATTTTGATTTATATAGAAGTAGGATATTTGCAGCAGCAGAATTAGAAAAATAATTATATGCTAGACAACTCTTCGGCATAATGTTGATAATATAACAGCAATTAGAGCGTTTTACCAGCTAATTCAATTTCTGTTATGTGATTAAAAACAAGCCATTGTTTAGAGGTGCTTTTTATTGTGATGGTCCCCTAAACGTCTAGCACAAATTAGGAAAATTACTTAGCAAGGTACAGCTCTGGTCATAAGTTTGCATGCACTTTTTAGAGGCATGAATGTCATAAACATTTTGGGCTTTTAATTATATTTTAACCTTTTTTTTTTTTTTTTTTTTTTTTTTTTTTTTTTAATAAAAAAAATATATCTTGTTTTTTTAAATCAATGTTTTGTTTCTCGTTG